TAAGCCACTCAAGGACTGTTTTTACAAAAAAAAAGAGTTTTTATATTTGTCACGTTTTGCTTGTATGGGTTTAAAACACTTTGGAGTTATTGTTAACTGAGTTTTGTACAATGTTCTGGTATATATACTGTTTGTATATCTTAGCCCTTATAGTGCACTTAGGTCTGAGTGGTTGTAAATAGTGACAACGTATAGTCGTTCTGATGGGACGAAAAAACGAGGTGTCGTGTACACTTTGGCGTGCCAAAGATCCTTTGGCAGTTGGAAATCGATATATGAGTAGGCCGTAGGGCGAAAATTTCTCATAGCACACCTAATAGGTTATACCCGTCTTCATTAGCCCAGTCGGAGTAGAACAGCAGGACTTTAAACTCCATTTCATTTCTACGAATTCTACATACGTCAAGTGTAAACAATCAACGAGACGCCTACCTACATGGTCTTTATTCAAATGAGAAAAACGACGATTGTATAAGGTGGCGGTAGTCTTTATATTGTATAGTGTCGATGGCACAGCAGACACGTGCATTACGCGTTTTTCTTTCAACCACGCGTCTTGGCATGGTTTACGGAAATAAACGAGATCTTGCAACATAAATCCGAAAATTCCCGAAGGGCATGTGGTATATAATCCAGCTGTGCTCCTGTTTGTGCCAAATATATTACCTTTGTCACCATACCCTTTTCAGGGAGCCACGGTGGCTAAGTGGGTAAGACGCTGGCTCGCTGGCCTGGAGGTCGCGTGCTCGATCCCTGCATTGGCCGAGAAAGTTCGTCGGGATTTTCCGACTTGGTTTCCCCATGTTAGTGGTGTATGACCGAGCGCCCGACAGGTACAGCTTTCTAGTCGTTCGGATGGGACGAAATACCGAGGTACCGTGTCTGCATTGGCGTGCACGTAAAACATCCATTGGCAGTTGGAATTTGATATAGCCGCTGCCCGGCCAAAATTCCCCGCATAGCAAAAAGTATGACGTATGCCGGTCATCATTCGCCCAGTCGGAGCAGAACAGTAGAACGTTAAACCTCATTTCATTTCCGCCTCCGTTTGAAAGTGCGGTTTATTAGTTGCACCTGATAGATTAACATCCCCTGTCTTCACCAATAATTTTACACAGTCAAGAACCTTATACGACTTCCTACCACGAATACAATACGACAAAATACTGACGAGACGAAAAACCGAGGTCCCGAGTACGTAAAGGCCATTTAACACGATCGTACTTTTGTTCAAGAACATTATCCCATTGTAAGGGTCACGTGTCCATGCTCTCCAAGATGGTCAGTCCTGCTGCTGGAAGATAGTTTTCCATTTTCATTACTTTGTGATGTGAGTCGCACAGAATGATATGGAGGTCAATCGTATTCAGAATTAGATGTTATGTACTTATGTCTAATACTGCTTTTGCAATACAAAATACCTCTATTACTTATGTCATGATACCGCTAATTCAAAATACAAATGTTACTTTACATAAAACAATCGACACAATACCTAAAATGATACGTGCAATGTCTTTTCACTTTCGACATTGAACATTGAACAAAGCATAATTGTCTTGGCATCTTCTACATTTCACTATCTACATTACATCTTCGTCTTAGTAACTTCTACATTGCATTAGCGAACGTGTTTTATCTCGACTGCATTATCTTTTTATGACATGTGGGCGGAGCCTAAAAGAGGTATGAAATCATCAACAATAACTTCTCCCAAGGAAAGACAACTCTGTTCTGCGTATGGACTCAGACTAGCAATTATTTGCCCATTGACTTCAATGTTAAATGGCTGTAACATCACAGGCTGTAGCTTTTTTCTCAACATTCCGTTGGTTCCAATCTTTATAGGCACAATGGGGACAACATTTGGCAATCTCCTCATCATAATTTTGTAGGGGGTTGACCATTTAGATTTTTTGCTACACGGATTTGAAGTTGACTGGGGTGAAAATCTCACTTCCGACACAATGACTGCTCTGCAGAAAGACACTTTACACCCCCTATCCCTCCGCTGTAATATCATCAGTATTACCCAAAACTGCTATGAAATTGCAAATTTGATCCCTTTTCTCCAATTCTAGACCAAAAAGTCAACCCAAAAATGCAGGAAGAGGGGAGAAAAAAATTAAGGGAAAAATTGTCTATTTATAACTCGCACTACATTCGTCCATCATGAAATAAAGGGAAATAATTACTAGTCTTAGTCCGTATGGTCTGACTAGCAATTATTTGCCCATTGACTTCAATGTTAAATGACTGTAACATCACAACTCTTCTGCAGATTTGGTCTAAAGTCACGAGATGTAAACAAGACTGACCCTAACCCAAGACCCAGTCCTTACCCTAACCCACAATCTTGTCGAAAAGCATGTAGCCTAGGCCTAAGCCAAGACCTAGTCCTGACCCTAGCCCAAACCCACAATTGTGTCAAAAAATCATGTGCCCTAACCCTATTTACATGTTGTGACCTTGAACCAAGTCTGCAGTTGGCCTTAACATTTAGACCTAACATGTTTTTGACATCATACAATGAAATGTTAACATGTACACTCCAAAATTCACACCTGTGTGACTTTTGACCAAACATGCAGTTGGCCTTAATATTTAGACCGAACCTCAAAACATGGCATCTACCTTTAAGATTGGCTTAGACTTATGTGACACTCAAGGTTTACTTTTTTACTGACTGTTAACTGGTTTCTTTTTGGAGGGCCAGTGACAGGCTGTTCGCTAGAAATAAAGAGGTTTATTTCTATTTCCAGTTGAAACCATATTTTTTTCTTATTTTCTCACTGTTTTTTATTGCATATTTATCCCCAGCCTCCTATCATTTCAGGTGCCAGGGTGATGTTTCATAGAGTGGAATGATTGACCTCAACACAAGTATTAAAAAAAGAAGCAAAACAGGTGAGATAAATGTGCATTTCATAGACTTTAAGAAGTACATCCAACCTGATCCCCACTTCTGCTCACTAATAGTAATGGGCTGGAAATTTGGTACTGCACAGGCCTGTCTTCTCCCCTTGACATTTAACTGAATGACAGAATTCCACATTTTGACCATTTTCTGGATGTCAATGACCGTTTCCCTGGATAGTATTCGCCCCAGAATTCTCATTCTCATCCAAATTTAACATTTCAGGTCTACATCTCAAAACCTGATGTCTTCCTGGACTGGCTTTAGGAGAACGATGATGCATATCAATTTCATCCCTGATCTCTATGACACCTGTGGTGGAAGTGGAGGGCAAATCGTAATCAGTTTGGGTTCCAACCCCGAGGACCTCTGTAAACTTTGCTTTTTAGTGATGACTTAATTTCCGAGCTTGAAAAGGACGCCCGTGGGTTTATCATGGCCTCTCATATTGGAAGATAACATTAATGGCTTGTGTGTTGATCGACGGTTGTGCATATCTCTTGGTCAGGAAAGTTGTAGGCACCATCGCCATTGTAAATCATTTGACAGGCCCGAGTGAACAGGGCGACCTATGATTGGTCAGCAATGTATCAGATTCCATACCGGGGGGTGGGGATGAAAAAACTGTTGTGGTGTTACATAATCAGATTATTTCAACTTACTTATCCTGTGGAAATACAGCTATATAGGAGGTATTTTGAAATTCATAGGCACTGCATGTTTCAACATGTTAGATGAGAAAAACTGTGTGGTTTTCGATGAAAGTGTTAAAAGTCTAATATTGCATCATGATTACTGTTTTAAAGTATTTTCGTGTTTGATTTATATTGAATTCATCTCATCTTTTTGAAGAATGCATTTATGTTCAAAAATAAAAATGTTCTGTGGAATTCAAAATTCATGTGCTTTTAAATTATCAGATTCCAAACTGGGGGGTGGGGATGAAAAAGCTGTTGTAGTGTTACATAATCAGATTATTTCAACTTACTTATCCTATGGAAATACAGCTATATAGGAGATATTTTAAAATTGATAGGCACTGCATGTTTCAACATTTTAGATTTGACCACAATTTGACACTTGAAATTACGTTAACAGAGAAAAACTGTGTGGTTTTCGATGAAAGTGTTAAAAAGTCTAATATTGCATCATGATTACTGTTTTAAAGTATTTTCGTGTTTGATTTATATTGAATTTATCTCATCTTTTTACAGAATGCATTTATGTTCAAAAATAAAAATGTTCTGTTTAATTCAAAATTCATGTGCTTTTAAATTTCTGTCTGAAATTCCGCAGTTTTCTGATGTATTATAGTGTTTGCAGAATGCCGCACAGCTCATCTGAAAATGCATAGATTTTCATATTCTTTGGCCAGGGAATTGCATATATGTTTGTTTATTAGATAACAACAGATTTGTTTAAACTGCAGAAACATGTGAGGTATATAGGACTAAGACTAGTAATTATTTCCCCTTATTTCATGTAGTGCAAGTTATAAATAGACAATTTTTCCCTTAATTTTTTTCTCCCCTCTTCCTGCATTTTTGGGTTGACGTTTTGGTCTAGAATTGGAGAAAAGGGACCAAATTTGCAATTTCATAGCAGTTTTGGGTAATACTGATGATATTACAGCGGAGGGATAGGGGGTGTAAAGTGTCTTTCTGCAGAGCAATCATTGTGTCGGAAGTGAGATTTTCACCCCTGTCAACTTCAAATCCGTGTAGCAAAAAATCTAAATGGTCAACCCCCTACAAAATTATGATGAGGAGATTGCCAAATGTTGTCCCCATTGTGCCTATAAAGATTGGAACCAACGGAATGTTGAGCAAAACGCTACAGCCTGTGATGTTTCAGTCATTTAACATTGAAGTCAATGGGCAAATAATTGCTAGTCTGAGCCCATACGCAGAACAGAGTTGTCTTTCCTTGGGATGAGTTATTGTTGATGATTTCATACCTCTTTTAGGCTCCGCCCACATGTCATAATAGCGATGCCAAACGCCGCTAGAGGCGCTGGCTGTCCTATTATTGGTGTGCTAAAAAACCTGACCGAAAAATGTACCGTTTCTACTACGGGGTCTCATGAATATTCAGGAAGTCAAAACGTGGTCACGCGGCACTTTTCCGGAACCTGGTGAGCTGAAGTTAGCGGACTGCCATAGCAGGTAAGATTTTGATCGAATTTTCGCTTATTTTTCTTGTTTTTAATTTTTAAATGTAATAGAAACTTTGAAAAAAAGAGCATTCCGCTCGAGATATCGACATTTTTGGATAGCCTGGTATATATTTTGTATAGTTTGAGCTTTTGTTTTGCCAAAATCCCCCGTAGGAATTGGCAATAAGACGGAAAGTAGAACCGGGGAAGAATCAGGGAAAGACAACTCTTGGTAGGTGCGTGTATGGGATCAGACCACAATGAATGATTTATTTTTTTTTAACCTAACTTTTGCAAACTTAAGTGTGAACTATTTAGATGTTTTTGCAAATTTAATAACATTACTTGTAAAAAAAAATGGACTTTTGAGAAAAATATATCCCCAAATATTGAAATAAGACTGACTTGGCATAGGCAAAATGAAAATGTGTATCTCATTTATTTTAAAGCTTATATTTACTATGGAAGAAGAGTATTCACAACCATTATTCATAACAGATTCTGAGGAGAGTGAAAAAGAAATTGGAGAAAGTGAATCTCAAGTAAGGCATTTCAATCTGTACTTTAGGACAATTATTATACTATGTTTATTTGATGCAGCACTCTTTTATTATAACTTTAAAAAACATAATCGGAAGAGGCCAGGGATTATATTGCTCTGTTCCAAATCAATTTTATTTTCCAGGCACAGACGCAAGCTCCAAGATTCATGCCACTTTTCACTCCACGCTTTAGTTCTGAGAATACAGCATTGATATTTTTTATCACTGTATGCAATTTTTTACTCATTTTTGTACATCTTTTTTTTTTAAATTTTATAACCAGAGATATTTGTTATTTATAGAGAAGGGGTGATTCTTTCTTTAATAATGTCATAACATTCGATTACTTATACATGTAACTTTTTGTATTTGCATATGACTTTGATGACGTCCAGTCATGCCAAAAAAGAAATTATTTTGTCATGTGTAATCCCTGTGATTATATCATATATTGTTAATTTTTTTAAGTTTTATATTTTTGGTTTTGTAGTTGGTAGTTTTGATATGATTGATGTTGATCATGATACACAGTTTTGTTTTCTGTTATTTTTAGATTTAGGTCATAAGTTTTCACCCAGAAAAATTCTGTTATTTATTTATTTTTGTTGATTTTAAGTTTTATTGATTTTGTTAATTGATATAAAGATATTTTTATTGATCATAATACTTGTGATTTTCCATTCCTGAAACAACTATTTTTGTCTGTGTGTTTTGCATGTGTATGTATCCAGGAAAAGACTGTGAATATTTTAATAGCCTCTAGACCTACAGGGGGGTTGGATGGCTGAATGGTTAGCGTGCGCGTGCTGTATCAGAAAGTCTGTCATTGAGTCGACTGGCGTGGTTTCGAATCCCCGGTTGTACGTGACAAGGAGTAGGGTCGCCTGTCCAACCTCGTGGGTTTTCTCCGGGTCCTCCGGTTTCCTCCCACTGCTAAAGACCCCTACGCGCAAGCGAATTATTGAAATAAAATTAAACCCTATGTTAGTCCCGAAATGACCTAGTTTGTGTCGAGTGGACGTTAAACCCCATTTCTCTCTCTCTCTCTAGACCTACAGTTGACCCGTGACCTTACACTTTCTGTATGACCTTGACATGGTATAGTCAAAAAATGCAATTCAAGTAGCTGATGCCTAATAAAAAAACACGATAACAATGTGAAAACATTATTTGTGTATCTATCACATCAAAAAACGGGTTGCGTAAATATTTCAAAGCCCTGGGACTTCTACATGGTTTGTTATTAACTATCACGTCATTTTTTTGCTGTGACCTTGAACGAAAATTGTCTCGGTCGTAAGTTTGAGAGTCTGTAGCACACACACTATATAACCGAAGAGTCTCCCGATAATTTGATTCAATCCAGTACATCTTGAACTTCAAATTCTGCAAGTTTCGTGGATCTACCTATTATAGTGTCTGAGATATTAGCTTCGGTCAGGTTTTTTACGTTTTTAAAAAAAAGCTGTATTTTGGTGCCTCCAATTCGCGGTCTTCAAAATGCCATAACTTTTTTAATTTTCAATATTTTTTCAAAATTCTTTCAGATTATTGAATCTAAATAGTTGACGCTTGCAGTGCAATAATCATATTAGAGACATTTTGTGTATTTAAAAACCCTTTGGCAACGCTAGTCATAAAAAGATAATGCAGTCGAGATAAAACACGTTCGCTAATGCAATGTAGAAGTTACTAAGACGAAGATGTAATGTAGATAGTGAAATGTAGAAGATGCCAAGACAATTATGCTTTGTTCAATGTTCAATGTCGAAAGTGAAAAGACATTGCACGTATCATTTTAGGTATTGTGTCGATTGTTTTATGTAAAGTAACATTTGTATTTTGAATTAGCGGTATCATGACATAAGTAATAGAGGTATTTTGTATTGCAAAAGCAGTATTAGACATAAGTACATAACATCTAATTCTGAATACGATTGACCTCCATAGAAGGATACCCAGAATTTTATTCTCCACCTGCGTCCCCCCACCAAAAGCTATTTACTGGGAGGATTTAGCTTTTAATAAACACGTGGCTAACGGTAAGCCCATCACCAAAAAGAAGTGACAATTCCATAGTAGGAGATAGCGGAATGGTCCGACCATATATTGAGTATGACGTTATCGCAACAATCTTACAATGGTAGCGTCAAAAGTCAGTCCGTCAATCGATGCGCGATTGTCCAAGGAACACGATTGCCATTTTCAAGTCGATCTTATTTGAATGAACGTCGAGTTTGGCCTTTTTCGCCCCCCTCCCCCTCCCCAAGAACAACAAGATAAACCCAAAAATAATTAAGATATATACAAGGATAAGCTATAACAGTTTTATATCCCAAAACCAACAGTAATACATAATAATATATATCCTAGCGGCAATATTCATATTCATATCCAGTTGACGGTCAACTTCCTTTTTATTCATAACATCAGTAAAAGACCAAATCACAGACTCCACCAGAAATATGAATATAAAAAATGGATAGACCTTAGTCATGCATACATTCCAAAACCTGCTGCGATGAGCACCAATTATTTGAACTTGTTATAAAACGCAAAGCACCAAACCCTCTAGCCACGCCGTAGTACAATACACATGTGCGCTTGCTATGCAATTCGAACGGTTCATACTTCCGACTATTTTTAGAAACAAATTGTTAAGAAACAACCCCCTTCAACTGTGAAGGGTGACTGGTTAATTATGTCTATTGGCGTATGAATACAAACATGCAATAATATATAAATGTAGTCCAAAAAGAAGCATGCGACATGCACTTGAGAGTTCGTACAATCAACATCGTTTTTTGTTCTTTTCTCCATCCATCGATTGTCGAAGCCATTTAGTTTGCTATTTATGGGCCCAGTCTGGGTATATATTTCAGGATCCCCTATACATCGTACGCACATAGATACTATGGATACATGTCGAAACCCCCTGGCCTAAGCACCAACTCTTTGAACTTGTTGAATAATGCGAAGCACCAAATAATCTCGCCCCATTGTAGTAATTATTTGCGTTTGCAGTGCAATTCGGGAGGTTCAACTGTGAAACAGAAAATCTAGTTAATTTAAATACACGCAAGGCAAAATTACGACAGTCATCCTTCATATTTCTGAGAAATAATTCATCGCACCATGACCTTGACATTCCAAGTGAATATGCCTGAAAATATAAATCATAGTCAATATTCACACATTGATCAATTGAATGACGTATCTAAATTATTCATATTTGTCAATGTCACCGTCGTAACATTGGATACCCCGGAAAGCTAATTTCAAGAGATGCCTTGTGCGAACCCGTGTACGCTTAACGTCAGATTGTTATAACAGTCTTTGAGAAAATGAAATTAACCCCCTTTTCCGAAAGCCTTGTGGCTGCAGAAGAGCCCTATCGATATTTCCCGTTCTCCGCCGCCATCTCTTGCAAAATGTGAGCGTATTTTCCATGGCAACTGCGTGTTTTGGAGACGATGATAGAAAATCAAAATCTACTGAAGGGCATGGTTTTTCGGAATATAACCATGGCCTGCAGCTGCAGTAAGGATAAACAAAGGGTATTTAGTTCTATTTCTCGATAATGAGCAGTCCATACTGAAAGACAGTCATTTGTGCCTGGTTAATCAAATTATTTACATTTTCTTTTTGTCGTTTGTGCGTCAGACATTTTTATTTCTCCCACATTGACTTTTGTGCAGCAAGTCTTATCATTACAAATAGCGCTCGAGATCGTAGAGAACCCGACCCAGGGAACCGGTTTTTAACTGTTCTTTGTGTATTATATGTTGGATATCAGGCGCCCATTGTGTCTCAGGAAGATAATAAATTCAATATTGATTTAAATGGATCAATATTGAATTCTAATTCGTGTTTTTATTATCGAATATTATGGGTAATACTGAAATAGAGTCTGATCTATATTTAAATAGACTGTTACTTACACATGTATAGCAGAGATCATGTTGATCACATGCTTGTTGAAATCGTCGTTTGAAAGGTAAGTTGAAAGGGTCGGTGCATCCGTCGTGTTCATAAGAAAATGCGCCGCAAGTAATCCTCCCTTCTACAAATCCGACCACAAGAATGGTGAACAGGCAAAATATGATGATTACCTCCACTTTCATTTCTGTTGAAACAGAGAGTTATTTTTTTTTTTATTAAATATTATGTGATGAACGTCATGGTATAAACTCTTGGCTGAAGGCTTGGGGGGGGGGGGGCGGCTGCTGAGTGAGTATACCACTGACTCGCTACTTTATACTATTATAAACAAAATATGGTTTCCAGACATCAGCATTACATATCGTACTATAGCAGTGGCGTCGTGCCCATTGGGGCCCGAGGCCCCCCTCCCCAAATTCTCAGGGAAATAAAAATATTTTTATTGATATTATTAAGACAGAAGACCTGTCCGTTTGTTTTAGTCATCACACGGTCTCCAGGAATTGTATAATTTGTCATTATATGTGTTTAGTTTATTGCACTTTAGTTTAGATGTCATTTGTTAAGGCCTCGCCCAACAGCAGCCTCGCTTCATACACTCTATCATTTACAAATTTTTCAGAATACCAATGATAAAATATACAACCAATATAAATACCTCAGTTAAACACACTCTGATAAATGATAAAAAATCTACATATTAATATTAAGAAAGTTAGAGTTTGCTGTAGCTAGAAAAACATCAGCTAAAACCGATCGCGACACTAAAAGAAAACATGAATATGAAACGCGGAAATTCTTTATGAGGCAACTTCCATGTTCGCAAATTGGCATACGAGCGGCGTTTCATGAAATTCAAAATTTAAATGGTGTGATGAAAAGATAAGACGTTACCCATACTATTAGAAACACGCCTGTTCAAAATCTAAGCCATGATAAATGTAACATTGAAGCTAATAAATTAAATAGAAAAATCTCTGAATTGACTTCGGAACTTGAAAGCGCGCATAAACATAAACTTGAGATGCACCTTGATCTCAACGAATTGTTACGATCTAAAGCCCAATTAGAAAAGGCCCATGAAAACGCTAAGCTTGAAACTGAGAGATTGTGCGTGAGAGAAAACTTTTTAGAGTCGAGCAAGAGTGACGTAATATGCGAGCTCATTGAACATCAGAAACAGATCGAAGACCTTAAAGAAGAAAATGAACAGGATTTGAACGAATGTTACGACTATGATGAAAACGGTTTTTATGATGGTCCACCCAATATACTTGGCCCTGTAATTTAAACTTTAAATTGAGCTTATAAATTATAATTAACGTCTACGGGCTATAGCGTTTTAGTTACCAGGGTATATTGTTAGTATAGACGATAGATTTATAGGATTAATGCCCTAGGTGATGCATGGGGATATATAGACCCAAATGACAGAATTAGGGGGAAGCTTGCTTAACACGTGTCTTGGGAGATCAGCTTGGGTCGCTTTCCTAAAGACAAACCTTATTGACCTGTATTTGGATATTTGGAGACATAAGTTTATGTGCTTATTTACTATTAAGCAGTGAACCAATAATTGTTATATTAATTGTCTGCTGTAATTTATGTTGATTACTGTTTACCAAAAGAATATAGAGAAATATTAACAGCCACAACAGTCTTGTCTTCATTCATTCAACAACGAGAAATCCAGAAAAGATACCAAAAATTGCACTTGTACAGTACCCTGATCTTCCAGAAGGCAATAAATGATGCTTTGTTTGAGTGTCTGTTTCTACAAGTTGATGTTATATTCAAACGTGTAGTTTAGACTTTAAAATATTACAAAATATATCCCCGGTTGTACGTGACAAGGAGTATGGTCGCATGTCCAACCTCGTGGGTTTTCTCCGGGTCCTCCGGTTTCCTCCCACTGCTAAAGACCCCTACGCGCAAGCGAATTATTGAATTAAAATTAAACTATATGTTAGTCCCGAAATGACCTAGTTTGTGTCGAGTGGACGTTAAACCCCATTTCTCTCTCATAACAAAATATACAAAGTCAAACTGAGCCTACTCCTTGTCAGGTACATGCTTGAGATCGAAAACACGTTACTTGACTAAATAACAGACCTTATGATGTTCAGTAATTAAGCACTTCCTTCTGCCGACAATCCAAGTCACTAATCATATAGTTAATATGAAAACAGATTTATCACAACTGATTAAATCTACCGCTATAACGACAAAAAAGTTTAACCAATCTCGGCTCTGATAAATGTCGCCGGGCATTAATCTGTCTTAATTCGGTTCCTAAGCCCCCACCCCCTCAGTGGCGCCTGATTGGATGGATTTGTTTGAATGAACTGCTGTCGATTTCTCGACTATAGGCACCAGTTCGTCGCATGAGTTACATATTAATGAACATTTTCCACATCCTAACATCAAAAGTTCATTTCGAAAACAGCGGAGCTGATGATTTACCGGAAACTACGTTTAGCGCACAATGTGAGTGATTCAGCGTTATGAGCGTAAAATACACGAAATCTCTGAAGAAACGTGAGTTTGAGCCGCCATCTTGGATCTTTGTGAAGCGATCGGCGGAAGGATATATCACGTGACATTCAAGACATTCAAGGTGGCCGGCGAGTTTTCCAAGAGATAAACGAATGGTAAACTTCTCTCTAGAAGACGAGATTGACATTCTGGTATCGAATTAGGGGATGGATAACTTGGATACGTAAACTACATTTTTATGTGACATGAAATGGGGTTTATTGTCCTGCTCCGAACTTGGCTAATGAAGACGGGCATACGACATACAGTGCTATGAGGGAAATTTTGCCCGGACACCTGCACTACGGCCTATTCTTATATCGAATTCCAACTGTCAAGAATCTTTTACGTGTACCCCGATGTGTACACGGGAACTCGTTTGTTTGTCCCATCGGAACGACTAGACAGCTGTCCTTGGCAGGCCCTCCGTCATGCATCACTGACAAGGGGGAACCACGTCGGAAAATATGGGTGAACTTTCTCGGTCAATGCAGAAATCGAACACCCGCCCTCCAGGCTAGCGAGCCGGCGTCTTAACCACTTAGCCAACGTGATCCCCTATATCAAATGAATACGTAAGATACACTTTCATCGCGTGCAATAAAATTATGTATAAATCTGATATAAAATAAACTTTCTACCAGTGTCGTATAAGTTCATCCGGATTTTCCGGTGTGGTTTCACCTTGGCAGTTGTGCACGACAGAGCGTCTTGCAAGGGCAGCTGTCTAGTCGTTCGGATGGGATGAGGAACCGAGATTCCGTGTACACATTTGGATACACGTAAAAGATTCCTTGGCTGTTGGAATTTGATAATGTAAAATGAAAATATTGAACATTTCATTCACATTGCTTCAATCTGAGCCGAGGTATCACTGTTTGTAGTTTTGACATGATGTGTACATTTGGTAACCAGGACACTGGTATATTCAAGACTTTGTCTCGCTCTCCCATTTTTAAATTAAATTTTTAAATGGCAAACCGTTCTAATCTAGTGAAAATCTCGTGTATCCGATGCCTACAATGGGCATAATGTATGTTTAAGGCTACCTTGACTCAGTCAATAAAATTAAATATATACTCAGCCAAATTAAAAACTTGACACTGATGAATTTCAACAAAAAATTTTTTCTGGTAAGTCAAATAAATTTTAAAGTGTTTCTAACGATAGTAAGTAGTAGGGAGCCACGGTGGCTAGGTGGGTAAGGCGCTGGCTCGCTAGCCTGGAGGTCGGGTGTTCGATCCCTGCATTGGCCGAGAAAGTTCATCCCGATTTTCCGACGTGGTTTCCCCTTGTCAGTGATGCAGGACGGAGGGCCTGACAAGGACAGCTGTCTAGTCCTTCGGATGAGACGAAAAACCGAGGTCCCGTGTAAACATTGGAATGCACGTAAAAGATCCCTTGGCAGTTGGAATTCGATATAAGAGTAGGCGATAGTGCCGCTGCCCGGGCAAAATATCCCTCATAGCACACTGTATGGCGTATGCCTGTCTTCATTAGCCCAGTATAGGAGCAGAACAGTAGGACGTTAAACCCCATTTCATTTCATTTCATAAGTAGTAAGAAGCCTTTAATTTCATAAAATTGTATCACGTGACTTTTGAGCCTATAAAGATGAAAAACCTGAAAAAACACCACAAACTCGTGAGGTCAATCGATCAAGTTTGCATAAACTGAACACGCACACGTAACTTGAACTGGAAAAACAAATTAAAATTGTTATTTTCATCTTTGTTAGAAAATGATGCGCCTTTCAAATGTAGAACGTCTACGTGCTATAGGTAGGCTCTATGCTGGTCAGTCTGTGGTCACTGTTGCAAGAGCCTTTAATTGTTCACGCCAGACAATAATTAATCTTAGAATGAGAGTGCTTCAAACTGGAACTATTGCCCACCGCCCAAGGGCGGGAGTGCCACGTGTGAAGTCACTCCAGGACGATCAAGCAATACGATTACGTCATCTTAGAAACAGATTTGTCACTGCAACCTCCACAAGTAGAGAGATGTTTGGTGGAAGGGTAACTGCACAAACTGTTCGAAATCGGTTGCAGGCTGCTGGTCTTCGAGCTCGGAGGCCCTATAATGGACCAATATTGACACCTCTTCATCGCCGTAACCGACTTGTGTGGGCCACTTAAGACACTTAAGATTTACTCAAAGACAGTGGAATTCGGTTGTCTTTAGTGACGAATCTCGATTCACTTTGAGATTTGCCGATGGCAGGGTCCGAGTGTACCGCAGACGAGGTGAACGTTACGCTCAAGTATGCGTCAGCAATTGAATCCACCACTGACGTTGCAGGACCTTCAACATGCTCTTGCTGAGCAGTGGCGACGTCTTCCTCGGGTAGTGTTTACTAATGTTCTGAGATCCATGAGAAGACGTTGTGTGGCAGTACGAGACGCTAGAGGAGGCCACAACCGTTACTAAACACTTTATTCCGATTGTTCTCCAAGTCTGTGAATTTCATTTTGGGGGGTACTGTGACATCACGAACGTTATCAATTTCAAGGACTTTCGGCGAGACGTATTCTTGCTTTCTGTTGATGTCAAGGTCGTCTGTGCACAACATAACACTAAAATAGTTGCCTTAAACCAAATATTAAAAATCTAGTCCCAAAAATCCCGAGTGTCAAGTTTTTAATTTGGCTGAGTATATTTAGTATTACCTTGCGTTCTGTTGAGAATCCCAGTCATTCATCAAACACGTGATATATAATCAGCTTTACCACAAGTGATGCAAGATTCTAGTTCCAGGCCAATTTTATACGTTCTCCCAACTTGATTACGTGATGGTGAAATTAATACATTTTATCTTCCGTTTCTGGAATCTAAAATGACGAGCCAATCAGCTGCCCCCTTCTTAAATAACGAACCAATCAACCGTCTTCTAGAACACACCATGCCGCTATTTATATATTTGGGAAGTTTAAACATCAAATAGTTTTCCTGGTTGGTGTTTTAACATTTCAGTTCAGTAGTTAGATACATTATACAAGAGCTAAATTTTCCTATTGTAAGACTTTCTTTACGCTTTAAATGTTATTTAAATTATTGCGGCCACGGTAGCTAAGTGGGTAAGACCCTGGCTCGCTAGCCAGGAGGTCGGGTGTGGTTCCCCCTGGCCATTGATGCAGGACAAGGACATCTCTCTAGTCGTTCGGATGGGACTAAAAGCCGAGGTACTGTGTACACATTGGCATGCATGTAAAAGATCCAATGGCAGTTGCAATTTGATATAAGAGTAGGCCGTAGCGCCGCTGTCCCTTATATTTCGTTATATCACACTGTATGACGTATGACTGTCTTTTTAGCCCAGTCATATGGCAATTTAATGAAATAAAGTGGTTTTAAATCGCGAGATGTTTTAATTACCTTTGCAATACGAAGCGCTAGAACTGTTCCAGAATTTTCTAAAGCTCCCTAAACATATTGAAGCCGGTTGACAGATTTCATTTCTTTTCTAGGCCAAGTCAAAGGACAGTGACGTCATTTTGGTAGGCCGAGAAAGTTCATCGGGATTTTGCCGCGTGGTTCCCCCGTATCAGTGGTACAGGGACAACGTATAGCCGTTCGGAAAGGACGAAAAAACAAAGGTCCCGCGTACATTTTGGCGTGCACTTAAATGATCCATTGGCAGTTTCAATTGGATATAAGAGTAGGTCGTGACGCCGATGTCCGGACAAAATTTCCCTCGCAGCACTGTATGACGTATGCCCGTGATATTATCCCAGTCGCAGTAGGACATTAAACCCATTCCAATACATTAAAATACAAGAACAGCATTCCCCCAAAGACAGTCTTGTTTGTCATGTCCAATTTGCATTATTATAAAGCAACGTGGATCTTGACGCCAAATTAGGAATAATTACTTTCCTGAAATGGTATTTCTTAAATTAATTTCATGGGAATCGACATTTTGTGTTAAGGCCATTTAACTCCCTTACAGCGCTCTCTGAGAGAGAGTCCTCTCGACACAAACTAGGTCATTTCGGGACTAACATATGGTTCAGTTTTATTTCAATAATTCGCTTGCGCGTAGGGATCTTTAGCAGTGGGAGGAAACCGGGTGATCCGGAGAAAACCTACGGGGTTGGATAGGCGACCCTACCCCTTGTCACGTACAACCTGGGGATGGAAACCACGCCAGTTGACTCCATGACAGACCTTATCATACAACCCGGACGCGCCAACTATTCAGCCACTTAACCCCTCAGTAGATTTCGTAAAGATTACATAAAAGACCTTATAATCTAGCCAATGAAGTTGGTATTCTAAAATCTTGACAACCCATCCAGACTATATAGTTAGGAAGCTAGGTTCAGGTTGTATCGAAAATCGCGTACAAAATGTCTACTATGTTAAATGAGTGGGCAGTGATGTCCGATACTCTGAACCTTGATTCTTATGTTGCGGCTCCCCTTCCCATGGGGGTGGGGGATCCGAGAAAACTTCGAATTTTCGAGTTTAATTCTACTTTTGCGTACAACAATCAGATGTCGCCAAAAACACTGCTTAAGAAGACCCTCGACCTTTCCTTCCTTCCTTCCTTAAGAACACTTCCTTTACCCCCCCCCCCCCTGAAAGAGGGGTTAATTCGACTTTTGCGTACAACATTAATTTTTCGTTAAAAGTTTCACTATTGATCCGCTAAAACACACCACTAACTTAAGAACGCAAAATCCCCTTCCATTCCGGATAAGAACGACAAAAAAGGGGACCTATGAGTGAAATAAACAAAATGACGATCTAATTCGACTTTTGCGTACAACGAGCAACTTTTGTGCATACGTCGACCAAAATCAGATATCATCAAAAACACTGCTTAAGAAAACACGCGACCCTTCCTTCCTCCCTTAAGAATATCCCCCTTACCCCCCGGAGAGACGAGTTAATTCGACTTCCGCGTACAACATTAATTTTTTCGTTAAAAGTTTCACTACTGGTCCGCTAGAACAGAACACTAACTTAAGAACGCGAAATCCGCTTCTATCCTGGATAAGAACGACAAAACGGGGGACCCATGGGTGAAATTTCCAAAATGACAATTTAATTCGACTTTTGCGTACAACGATCAGCTTTCGTGCATACGTCGACCAACCTTAGATGTCACCAAAAACACTGCTTAAGAAGACCCACGACCCTTTCCCCCTCCCTTAAGAACACCCCCTTTATATGAAAATATCACTTCGTCTGGAAGATCTAGGAATATTATGTGTATGACGAACCCTACGGATTGTATTTATAATATTAGGTGAAACAGAAGGGACGTCAGGAGCTTTTAGGGTCATCAACCGAATCCGCTCTCTTCTCCGAGAGCCGAGCTATATAAAACCCGTACTAACCCGTGGACTAATAGTGCAAAGTTTAACGAAAAAATGAATGTTGTACTCGGCAGTTGAGTTAACTCATCTCTGCTGAGGGTAAAGGGGGGGGGGGGGGTCTTAAGGGGTGACAAATGGATCGGGCATCTACTTAAGCAGAGTTTTTAAATGTAGTCTGAAGTAAATTTACACAGACAGGAGGATGATATTTGTAGACTGAAGTTGACTTAAATCGTCAGTTTTGGCCATTTCACCCTTGCCCCGCCTCCCGTTTTCTACTCCTTATCCGAGATAGAAGGGGATTTCGCGTTCTTAAGTTAGTGTTATGTTTAAGTGAACCAATAATGAAACTTTTAACGAAAACAATTAATGCTGTACGCGGAATTTGAATTAACTCATCTCTAAGGGTGGTGGTGGTGGTGGTGGGTATAAATGGGTGTGCTTAAGGGATGAAAGAAGGGTCGTGGGTCTTCTTAAGCAGTGTTTTTGATGACATCTGAGGTTGTTCGACGTATGCACGAAAGTTGATCGTTGTACGCAAAAGTCGAATTAAATCGTCATTTTGGTCATTTCACCCATGGGTCCCCCGTTTTGTCGTTCTTATCCGGGATAGAAGGGGATTGCGCGTTCTTAAGTTAGTGTTCAGTTCTAGCGGACCAATAGTGAAACTTTTAACGAAAAAATTAATGTTGTACGCGGAAGTTGAATTAACTCGTCTCTCCGGGGGTTAAGGGGTATATTCTTAAGAGAGGAAGGAAGCGTCGCGTGTCTTCTTATGCAGTGTTTTTGATGATATCTGATTTTGGTCGACGTATGCACAAAAGTTGCTCTTTGTACGCAAAAGTCGAATTAAATCGTCATTTTGTTTTTTTCACCCATAGGTCCCCCTTTTTTTCATTCTTATCTGGAATTAAAGGTGATCTCGCGTTCTTAAGTTAGTGTTATGTTTTAGCGGATAAATAGTGAAAATTTTAACGAAAAAAATAATGTTGTACGCAAAAGTCGAATTAACCCCTCTCTCCGGGGGGTAAAGGGGGTGTTCTTAAGGGAGGAAGGAAGGGTCGGGGGTCTTCTTAAGCAGTGTTTTTGGCGACATCTGAAGTTGGTCGGCTTATGCACGAAAGTAGATTGTTGTACGCAAAAGTCGAAAATTTGACGTTTTGTCTGATCCCTCACCCCCATGGGAAGAGGACCCGCAACTTAAGAATCACGGTTCAGAGTATCGGACACCGCTGTCCACTCAACTAGCATAGTAGAAATTTTGTACGCGATTTTCGAAACAACCTGAACCTAGCTCCCTAACTAATATTGTACAAGTGGTCTTCCTGTACCTTGTTCTTGTTCATTTATGGGCGACACTCTTCGAAAAAGGCCCAAAGCTTCACTAATTCAAGTAAGATGAACTTGAAACTTGGCAATAGTTTTCCTTTGGCAATCACGCATCGATCGACTGACTTCGGCTTTGTTTTGACGCCACCATTCCAAGATTGTAGCGATGACGACATACTCTGTACCCTGTCCTCCATTCCGCTATCTTCATAATAAAGAAATTTTGAATTCTTTTGAGGTGACCGGCTTGCCGTTAGCCACTTGTTGATTTAAAGTATGGTATAAGATACCTATCTTCGTTGGATTTTAATTACCGTTAACCTCATAGTAAACAGATTTGTTGGGGGAGCGGAGAATAAAATTACCCGTAGTTCTGGGTATCCCTCTGCGCGATTCAAACCACAACATAATGATTGACCTTCATCAGGAGCATGGACACGTGACCCGTACAGGGAAGCCCGTTTGTTGAGACGGTCTACAGCACAGCGGTGTAAGTCTCTTTGCTCTTTCGACTTAAAGGACAATATTGGTGTCAGTCATTATAAAATATGTGATAGAACTGGTTAACTGGTTAAAATTATATTTGGAATGTATTTAACCAGTTCTATCACATATGTCATTATGACTGACACCAATATTGCCCTTTAAATGCTTTAGATGATACTTGATTAAATTACCATGTTACAAGAATGAGAAAATCTTTCCTTGTTATATTCTCAAAGATTATATTAGACGCACAGAGCGTAAAAAAAAAGCTCAGCAATTATTTGTTTCTTCTTTAAACTTTAGATCTGTTGCTTCTAGCACTATATCCAGGTGGGTTAAAGAAACTTCGAATTATCTGGTGTAGGCGAGGATAAATTTAAAGCCCATCCCGTAAGATCAGCATCTTCTTCTGCATCCTGTGATTCTGGATGTCCTATTTCAGATATTCCCAAGACCGCTAATTGGTCAAATCAGGAGTGTTCCCAGAAATATTATAATAGAGAAGATGTGGCGTTCAAATACTCTAGTTTAGTGTTAAATAATAAATAAATTATGTTGATTTTAGTGTCTTTATTGACTTGTTGACAAT